GCATCCCCAGCAGGTCCATGGTAGATAATATCTACCTGATTCGAGATATTTTGGAAGTCTCCAGTTCATTGGGTCTGAACACAGCGTTGGTCTCACTTGACCAAGAAAAGGCGTTTGACCGCATAGAGCACAGCTTCCTCTGGGAAACCATGGAGGGGTTTGGGTTCAGTGCTGGTTTTATAGCCAAGATACAGGTGCTGTACAGTAAAATTGAGAGTGTGCTGAATGTCAACAGTAGCCTGTGTGCTCCTTTTAGGGTGTATAGAGGTGTTCGGCAGGGCTGTGTGCTCTCTGGAATGCTCTATGCGCTCTCCCTGGAACCCCTCCTTAAAAAGATCCCTTCGAGTGTTCGTGGTTTAGTTTTACCTGGTTTTAATAGTAACATAATTTTATCCGCCTACACTGATGACGTTGTTATTTTTATAAAAAAAAACAACAAGATGCCGACGCACTAAGTGAGGACACCGAGAGTTTTTCCACCCTGGCTGCTGCGAGGGTGAACTGGGTAAAGAGCACAGCCTTCGTCGTGGGTGAGTGGCCTGAAGGGCTCCCAGTTCTCCCTCAAAACCTCCCATGGAAGAGAGACGGGCTTAAATACCTCGGTATCCATCTAGGGGATAAAGTTCAAGTACAAAAGAATTGGGAAAATTTGGAACAAATGGTCAGGAGCAAATTAGAAAAATGGAAATGGCTACACACTCAAATGTCCTACAAAGGCAGAGTGCTAGTTTTAAACAACCTGGTCGCATCACAACTGTGGCACAAACTTTCTGTTTTAGACCCACCTCCAGGCCTGTTGGTAAAGATCCAGTCTGAGATGATGGAGTTCTTTTGGAAAGATAGACATTGGGTGCCACAGTCTGTCCTGTTTTTACAGAGAGAGGAGGGGGGACAGGGCCTTGTCCACCACCTGGCCAGCAGAATAGCCACTTTTCGAATACAGTTCTTCCAGAAATACCTGGCAGGACCTCCTGATACTGTGTGGAGGGACGTGGCCAGCTGCATTCTTAGACGCGTGAGCAGGTTGGGGCTGGATGCTGCTCTGTTTCTAACCAATGTTAGCCTTTTAAAGTTAAAGGGGTTACCCCAGTTTTGTCAGAGTGTTTTTAAATTATTTTCATTTTTAACCCAAACAGATCAAAAATGTATAAGTGTCTGCATTGGCTTTTAGAGGAACCACTAATCTGTGGTGCAAGACTGGATGTTTCGGATAGCACGGTACCAGGTCTGTCAGGGGTGCTGTGCGGGTCTGGGATGGTGACTCTGGGGTGGCTGGTGGAGACGGCCGGACCAGACTTCTCCAGTGTCCAGGAGGTGCTTTCATTGCTTGGAGTCTGGTCTGCCAGGCTGGTACGGCGCTTCCTGGACCTGGTGAAGGAGAGGATTACAGCAGGGGAGAGCGTCTCCTGCAGCTGTGGTCCACGGGGGATCACCTGCCTGACCCAATGGACCCCTTCCCGGACATCAACCTAGATCCCGACTTCGCGGACAGTAGTGGACCTCTGCTATGCAACACGGACTCAAAAATAGACTTGTGCAGAACTGGTCCAAAAGTGCTCTATAAGACTTGTGTTAAAGTCCTAAACAAGAGAACTCTGCACAACAGAGCTGTCAGCGTGTGGGATGACAAGCTTGGAGGACAGAAGCCCCAGTGGAGGACACTTTACAAACCTCCGACAAAAAAACGGACTGGTGATCTCCAATGGAGGATCCTTCATGGCACCATTGCAACAAACTCTTTTCTATCGATCATCGGTCCTGAGGTTTTAAACGAGTGTCCTTTTTGCAGTTTGTCAGAGTGTTTTTCATGTTTTTATGGATTGTGTATGACTGACTGCTCTTTTTAACCTAATGATGAGGATTTTTTAGCTTTTTTGATACCGTTTTTACCAAATCTGTTTTTATTAATTGTGTATATTACAGCAAAGCCACTAAGTGTAAATCCAACATTTTAAACTTTTTAGTTGCCGAAGCAAAAATGTCAATCTATTTATCTCGCAGGGACAGACTGCAGGCTGGACCTCAACTTGACGCTGTGGCTCTGTGGAAGTGCAACGTCAAGGCCAGACTAGCGTTGGAGTTTTGCTTCCACAGCGACACTGGAGACTTGGACAACTTTTTTGGAACCGTGGGGCTTTAAAAAGGAGAACTAAAATACAACAACCTCCTCATGTGAACACTATTAAAAAAAAAAACTTAACATGATCATGTTTTTAACATTGTTTTATTAATTTATTGTGCAAATTAAGTTTTGTAAAAATCAAATCAAAATCTGATTCTTCTCTTCCTCTGAGTAATGCTCCAAGGACTGCTGAAGAAGAAAACAGCAGCAGGGAGATTTTGATGTTACTTCTTTCCTTAGCTGTAAATGGGTGCTCAGTTGGATTATTTTAGATGCTTGTTTTTAAAAGTTTTTGTTTGAAGACCAGTCTTTGGAGTTTTTATTTGGGTCAGTTTAAAATACTCTATTTCTAAGTTATTTAAAGGTCAAAAGGTTCTGGCTTTGGGCTGAGTTTTATTGTTTTAAAGCCACCTAAATACTGTGGGTTCTGATGGTTGTCTTGAGCAGTTCTTGAACCAAAATGTTTAGGTTAGTAAACACACAATGTTTTATTTATGCTGTCTCACATCTAATAATAATATTAATAATAATGTTTCTGTCTCTGGCTGCAGCATCAAGTTACTGGCAGTTCAGGACCTGCTGGAGCGGGAGGCTCTCCATAAGGTATGATGATTCTTCACATTGTACAGTATTGATGGAGGCTGATTTACAGCCCTCTGACTCACCACTTAAACCTTCCTGATAATACAAAGTTTGTTTTCTCAGTCATCCAGGTATATAACAACAAAAAAGGTTGAATCATGTCATCTGGACTTCGTTTTTTTGTTCAAAAGAAACGTTTCGCCCCTCATCCAAGAGGCTTCGTCAGTCTGAGGCCTAGCCATCTGGTATTACCCAGAAGCCACCCTGACTCTTG